GCAAGTGAATGCCAGCGTTGGCTCAGAATGGCCAGGTGGGGCGGGGGGAGCCATGGGAGCAGGGGCTCCAAGGGGCTGTTTGGGGGCGCCTGGGGGAGCATCATGACGTCAGCAGAGGAGGAGGTGGGGGAGCTCCCAGGGAAGGGCCAGCCCGGACCCGAGGGCGCAGCCTGGCCTGTGGGAGGCCAGGAGAAAGGAGTTGGGGAGGGGGTCAGAGAGGGAACGGGGCTGGGAGGGCCTGGCCGCGAAGGGGCGGCTGCAAGGTTTCCCGGGGGAGGACGGGACATATTTGCAAAGTGGCAATCATGAAGGGAATGTGCTGGGATAAGCGGGAATGACTGTGACTCTTTCTCCCTTGCATCTGCGCCAGGAAAGCAAACAGCTCTTTAATGTGTGTGTGCGTTTGTCTGTGTGTGTCTGTGTTTGTGTCCGGGTGCGTTTGTGTATGTGTCTGTGTGTGTGTGCGTGTGTGTATGCTTGTGTGCGTGTGTCAGTGTGTCTCTGTGTTTGTGTATGTGTCTGTGTGTGTTTGTGTCTACGTGTGTTCGTATGTGTGTGTATGTGTGCATGTATGTGTGTGTCTCTATGTGTTTGTATCTACGTGTGTTCGTATGTGTGTGCATGTGTGCATGTATATGTGTGTCTGTGTTTGTGTCTATGTGTGTTCGTATGTGTGTGCATATCTGCATGTATGTGTATGTCTTTGTGTACGTGTCTGTGTGTTTGTGTCTGTGTGTTTGTGTGTGCATGCATGTATGTTTGTGTGCATGTGTTGGTGTGTCTCTGTGTTTGTGGTATGTGTCTGTGTGTTTGTGTCTATGTGTGTTTGTGTCTGTGTGTCTATGTGTACATATGTGTATGTTTGTGTGTGTACGTGTGTATGGATGTGTGTCTCTGTGTGTACATATGTGTATGTTTGTGTGTGCATGTGTACATGGATGTGTGTTTGTCTTGGTGTGTGTGTTTGTATATGTATCTGTGTGTACAACACATGTGTGCTTGTATGTGTGTGTGTCTGTGTATTTATGAATGTGTGTTTGTGTATCTCTGTGTATGTGTCTCTGTGTGTGTGTGTATCTCTGTGTGCGTATCCCTGTTTTGTGCGTGCGTGCATGTGTGTGTGTACACATGCATCTCTCGGCGGTTAGAAGAAACGCACATGACAAATTGCTGTCTCTGGGGTGAAATTTTCAAACAACACAAGCGAGGCCAGTATCATGTTCAGCACATTTGGAAGCTGCCGCCGCGGCTGGCCGGCTTTGCCTCAAAGCTGCTTTCTATTAAAATGTTTGCATGCCGGCATCTTCCTTGCGCCGGCCGCCCCTCCCTGGCCCACAGAAAGTCGAAAGTGAAGAGCAGGGGACCGGGTGCTCGGGCAGGGCGGGGGCCGGCCCGGGGAGCCGCCCGCCTCCGGCGCCACGGACATGCGTGCTGGAGCGGCCGCGCGGCCCTGCCGGGAACCTTTGCTTCCTGACTTCGCCCTGACCACGCTCAGCGGGGACCCAAGTGCGCATGTGTCCACTCGTGAGAAGACGCAAAAACAGTTCTTTGGTCGCAAGCCCAGAATGTCTCTGACTACTCCCAGGCAGGGAGCGCGTGCTGGAGACGCGAGGAAGGACGAGCGGGAAAGGGGCCCAGTCACTGGGCTGCCCCACCCCCACTGCACCCGGGGAGGAGGGGGGGCCCTCGGTCTAATCCTGCATCCACTGGCAGGATGGGCCAAGCTCCCGGTGGGAGAGGAGCAGACGCCGCAGGAAAGGGAGTGGGTGCTCCCGGCACCGAATGAGGAACCGACCCCGAGTGTCCACAGGAGTCCCGTGGTGGGGCAGGGGGCTGGCAGGACCCCACGCTCGGGGGCCGACTGTGGCTGTGGCAGTAACGGAGCCCCTCCAAACGACTCATGAGAACACGGCCTGGAGCCTGCACCCGGCCAGCCTGAGGGGGGTGCCGGAGATGTGAAACCGGGCCGGGAGCCGGGAGCCGGGAGCTGGACGCTGGAACTGGACACTGGGCCGGCTCACGTGGCCCCGCATTGGCACCGTGTTCCGTCTCCAGCCGGTGCCTGGGCTTCTTTTCTGCCTGCTCTGCGTTTTTCTGCTGCTTCTGCCTCGGTCCTGGGATGATGTGCTGGACCAGTGCGTCTCACCCTCTCTGGCCTGTCCATGGCCCCTCTGGAAAATCAGCAATCCCCCAAGCCCAGGAACAAAGGGGAAAGCGTGGCGAGAGGGGCTCTGGGCTCCCTGCTTCTGGTGAACATCAGCAAAATCAAACACACACACACACACACACACACACACACACACACAAGAAGGCAGCTGCCGGGGCTGGAGCAATAGCACAGCAGGGAGGGCATTTGCCTTGCACGCGTCTGACCCGGGTTCGATTCTCAGCATCCCATATGCTCCCCCAAGCACCGCCAGGAGTCATTCCTGAGTGCAGAGCCAGGAGTAACCCCTGAGCATTGCTGCGTGTGACCCAAAAAGCAAAAAAAAATAAATAAAAAATAAAAGAAGGCAGCTGCCCCAGGGGGCTCGCCCTGGCTCCCTGCTGAGAAGCCCTGGGGCTGGAGAGGCAGCTGGACCAGGTGCCACTGGCCCAGGGCTAGGCCCCCGGGCAGCAGGGAGCAGGCCAGAGCAGCCCACGGAGTCAGGCTGTCCAGGGCTTCCCCATCCTGCCAGGACCTGCCGGGAACAACAGCCCCACCTCGGCTCCATCCGAAAAGCACGTCCCGGGGCAGAGACAGCCGCACCAGCCCACGCATTCCACACGCGTAGCTAACCTGGGGCAGCGGCGGGGGGGGGGGGGTAGGAGCAGCTCCAGCAAGCAGCCCCGGGCCCCCCGCCAGCCCCCCTAGAACCCCCTGCAGCCGGCTGCCCTCCCAGGGCGCTGAAACATGTGTGTGGCCAACATGAAATGCTAACTCGGGCTGTGTCCTGCTGTGGAGACGGTCTCTTGCAGCTGGAGCCGAAAAGCGTGCCAGCCCTCTGGGTGCTATTCAGAGCCTGCCCGGCCAGGGCACCAGCGCCACCCAGTCCTGCTCTGGGCCGGGCCACAGCACCCCTCCCTCCCACCCCGGGGTGTCACCACACAGCTGGGTGACACCGCGCCGTGGGTTTCTCAAGCTCTCTGCGCCCCTTCTTCCTTCCTCTGGGTGGTCTGGGAAGCACAGTCGCTTCTCAGACAAAAACCGTCCTCGTGATGCTGGGAGCAGTCGGCGCTGCTGGAATGCCACAGTCATCCTCGAGAAGTGACATGTAAGCGCGACCTCACCCCCAGGGACCAGAGCCCATGTCCGGCCCTGGGCAGCGGGGTGAAAGCCTATGGACACCCCCCGGCCGGGCCCCGTCCCTCACGGCAAGCAGAGCCCTGGCCACCGGCTCCCTCTCGCCTGCGGGCAACGGTCCCTCCCACGAGCAACCCAACTCCGACGGACTCTTCCTTCCCTCTGGAAAACCACCGGGCTGCTCCGACACCCCAATCTCCACCCCCACCCTGTACGGACACCCCCGACCTCGTCACCATCGCTGCTGCCCTGCGAGGGGCCAAGAAGCAGAACATTTTCATCTCCCCGGACTGGGATGGATGAGCGGCCACACAGATCCGTGTAAACAGGGAGGCCGCCGCTCCCCGGCGCACGCCCCCCACGCTGCCGCAGAGAGCAAAGCTCTGCCCGGGTCCTTGGCATCCGGGTCATGTGGCACACGGTTCGCTCAGGCACGAAAGCTCTGAAGAGTTTCACAGAGGAAAAATTAATTAATTCCATAATTGGTCTGCGGTCATGCACGATCGCCACGAATTTCTGTGCCTGGGACATTATTTTTACTCTGTGTGTGTGTGTGTCCCTTTGTGTGTGTGTGTGTGTGTGTATCTATGTGTGTCTCTGTGTATCTGTGTGGGTCTTTATGTGTGTATGTTTGTGTGTGTGTCTCTCTCTTTATGTGTGTCCCTGTGTATGTCTCTGTGTGTGTGTCTCTCTCTCTATGCGTGTCTGTCCCTCTGCGTGTCCTTCTCTGTGTGTGTCTCTCTCTTTATGTGTATGTGTGAGTCATCTGTGTCTGTGTCTGTGTGTCTCTCTCTATATATGTGTGAGTTCCTCTGTGCGTGTCTATGTGTGTGTCCCTCTATGTGTGTGACTGTGTGTCTCCATGTGTGTGTGTGTCCGTCTATGTGTCTCTGTGTATGTCTCTCTTTATGTGTATCCCTCTGTGTGTGTCTACAGGTGTGTCCCTCTATGTGTCTGAGTGTTTGTGCCTGTGTGTGTCTCTCTCTTTGTGTGTGTGTGTGTGTGTGTGTGTGTGTGTGTGAAGTACATATCTAGTCAAATATACTTGGGGGAAAGAGTTTGGGGGTCACACCAGGAAGTGCTGCGGGCTTGCTCCTGGTGGTGCTCGGGACTGGGTGGGCTCGGCTTCGTGCAAGCAGCTGCCTGACCCCCAGCCCTGCACCTGCCCTCCGGCCCAGGGGTAACTCTGTTTAAAACCCTCTCGGAACCTCGCGAACCCCTGAGCTTGGGAGAGGGGTTTGTTCCGAGGTATGTTCTGGGGAATCCGGGGAAATGGGTCATATGTGGTGATGGGCCACTGGCGACACTGGCTCAGGGGGCTGGCAGGAGGGATGCTGAAGGAGCCCTTCAGGAAATACCAGCCCCTGCTTGAGGCACACGGGTGGGGTGGGGAAGTCGTGCTCGGCCCGCACGGGGCCTGCGCTGCAAAGATGAACGTGCACAACACCCCCTTAACTTAAAAAACCCTTCGATCTTGCTCACGCAGAAGCTTCCAGAACACCCCCCCCACACACACACACACACACACACACATCTCAGGGTTTCATGCATGCAACGTTTCGACACACACCCTCTCCTCAGGGTTCTCCTTTGGCCCAGACTAAACCAAATCAGTCCCCGAGACCCTCCAAGTCAAGGAGCCCTGTGCCCTCTTGGCCGGGCAGGCGTTGCCCTGTGTCAGCCAGGACCCGAGCCTGGGCCGGGCAACCGCACTCACCTCATGGTCTATTTTGATGAGCGCGATGTCCGCCTTCTCATCCACGTCCTTGATCTTGGCCTCGTAGGTGGCCCCGTCCTTCAGCTCGACCTTGACCCGGTGCTTGTTGGTCACCACGTGGGCGTTGGTCACGATCAGGCCATCCTCCGACACGATGAACCCAGACCCGCTGGCCACTGGCACCTCCCTCTTCGAGAAGGGAAGTCTAGGGGGCCACAGAGAGAGCAGGGTGGGTAGGGAGCTGGTCTGACACACGGCGGACCTGGGTTCAATCCCCAGCCCCATGTTGGGTCCCCTGAGCCCCACCAGAAGGGACTCTTGAGCACGGAGCTAGGAGTCAGCCCTGAGCACTGCCAGTGTGGCCCAAAAAGAGGGAGGGAGGAAGGAGAGGAGGGGAGGGGAGAGGAGGGGGGAGGGGAAGGCGGAAGGAGACCAGAACTCGAAGGAGCACAGGTTAGTCTGAGTCACGACCACCTCAGCCCTGGAGCTCACGGGGTGGGCTGCACCTCACCAAGCCCAGCACTTTTCCTGGGGGTACTTAACATGGAACCAGGGGGTACAGGGCTGAGCGTGGCCCCATCCCAGATTTCTCTCTGCAATACTCCCAGCCCTCCCAAGGGGTGGATGCAAGTGCAAACAGTCAACCAGACCCCGAAGAGGCCTGATGTGTGCAGCCGGGACACCTGGCCCGGTCCTGCAGGGTGGAGGGGAGCCAAGACACACTTTACTTAGGGTGGCCCGACCCTGCTTTACTTGGGGTGCCCCTGGCCAGCCCAGGGGCAGGGCGGGAATGTGCTTTACTTGCGGAACAGCTCAATGTGCACCACGGCAGGAGCGATCTTCTCCACCACGTCGGCGATGAAGTTGTATCTATGGCGCAAACTGTTGGGGTCTTCCTGCCCTGGGGACAAAAGACACAGCGCTGGACCCTACTGGGGCGGGGAAGGGGTCCTCCAGGCGAGGGAGCCCGCAGTCCCCGGCCCCACTCACTTGCACAGCTCCTGCCGCTCTAGGGGACCAGACTGCCCCATGCGCCCACACCCACTGCGCCGGGCAGCCCCACCCACCCATGACCTTTCCCCAGGCTCCTGCCGCCCCCTTTCATGGGGAAAACGAACCAGCACCTGGACCGGCCCTTCTAGAACCCAAGGACCACATGCTCTGCTCTGTGCCCACTCCCCACCGAGAGCAGCCTTTCCTTCTCACAAGAACCCCCCCACCCACCCAGCTGCTGCTTGTGGAGGGGAGCAGAGAGGAGGGGAAGGGAGGGGAGAGAAGGGGAGAGCTTTAGGATGAAGCAGATCCGGCCCCCCACCCACACCTCAAGGCTGTGGAGACACCACCGGACCCCCACAGGCCCCTCAATTCCAACCTGGCCCACCTGGCGCCACCCCAGGCAGAGACACTACCCCTCCCCATCACCCCTGCACAAATGCACGCATGGTCCTTAGTGTGTGTGGACATACTAATTAGTGGCGTTTAGTCCATACACACTAAGGGCCAGCAGGACACTGCAAGTGTCCTCCCCCCAAATCCGGCCCCAGCAAGGCCTTTAGTTTCCACCGACCAAAGCCCAGCCACGGCCTCCGATCTGGACGCGCAGGGCTGGGGGCTCGGGGCCCACAACCCCCACATGCTGGCAGGGCGGTGCCATGGGCAGGGGAGGCCCTGGGAAGGAGCTGAGCCAGTGACTCTGGCCTCAGGCCTGTACCTGCTGGCCACCCTCCATGGCCCCCCACCCGCCTTAGAGTGGTCAGGGGCCTGCAGAGAGGCCCATCAAGCCCACCTGGACTCCTGCCCACTGGGCGGACCGTCCCCAGGCTCAGCAAGAAACAACTGAACAGAAAGGGCCGGCTGGGGGCACTGCGAACCCCAGGCCCGTCTGTCCTCTCGCCGGACACTGTCCATCTCAGCATTGGGTCTGGCTCCCCTGAGGGCTTGTCTGTCACCTAGGAGGGAGCCCGACCGGAGCCCTGGGGATTGAACCTGGGTTGGCATGCAAGGCAAACGCCCTCCTGCTGCCCTATCACTCTGGCCCCTGCCCCTGTAAAGTCTTTTAAAGAAACCTGGTCTTGGTCGGTCATACAATGATCAAACACCCAACCGAGACTTGAACTGAAAGGCTTTGTTACTGTTCTCACGGTGATTCAACAAATAAATAATAAAAAAAAAAAATCAATATATAGGTATTACCCCAAGAAGAACTGTTATCATATTAGGAACATCATCTTCCATTGTTTTAAAAACAAAATAGTTAAACTAGCTTTGTAATGCTGATTCTGCAATAAACATAGTAAGGAGGGAAAAAAAAAGAAAGAAACCTGGTCTTTATGAGTGGTAGAACCTACAGATTAATTCATCAGACTCTGAACGCTGTAGGCTCTGTCATGATGCTTCCGATCTTTTCACTGATCAGGAGCATCAATGATCATTGATCATTCCCACCGACTGGTCAGCGACCCCCCTCCCTAGGGATGAGGCCCCATGGGAGGCACGGGGCTCTGCAGAGAGACACGAACTGGCCCGGCCACGGCCAGCTGTGGGGACGAGGGCGCCAGGCTCTGACCTCAGCCGCCATCACAGAGCGACACTTGGCACAGCACTGCTGGCCTGGTGACCTCGCGGAGATCACCTCGCACCCGGGACTCTCAGCCCCGCCCCTAAACTATGCCGATCATAACGCATGACTTCCAAGTGACTCGAAGCTGATTTTACAGACGACTGCCGGTGAAATGCCTGACCGAGTCTGGGAATGGAATTCCCTAAGTTAAAAATAAATAAATAAAAAGAAGTGGGGCTGGAGCAATAGTACGGCAGGTAGGACAGGTGCCTGGCATGGGGCCGACCCAGATTTGATCCCTGGTATCCCATATGGTCTCCCGAGCGCCACCAGGAAGGATCCCTGAGTGCAGAGCCAGGAGTCAGCCCTGAGCATCACTAGGTGTGACCCAAAACCCAATAAATAAATAAATAAATAAATAAATTTTTTTTTTTTTTTAAAGAAGGAGCCCAGGAAAGGCAGCTCTGCCAGGTGTAAGCGCCGCATACCTGGAGACACAGTAGACAGACAGCAAGGAAAAGTGTGAGGGCCCCGGGGCCTCCTGGGCTAAGCTGAGCCATGCCTAAGGAGGCAGAGAACTAGGGATGCTACGTGACAGGCCAGTTTTTCTGGTCCTCTCTGTCCTGTCCCGTCCCCCTGCCCCCACTACACCCCCTCCACCTCCCACTTAGAAGAATCCTCCTCCGTCTCCTGCAGCGGGGACAAGCGCTGGCTCTGCAGAGGGAGCCCACTGCACTGAGCCGCGCCGTCCCCCCGGAATCCTGGGATGCAGAGTGGCCCACAGCAGGAGAGCAGAGGGGACACCCACAGCGAGGGGAGTGCAGGGGCTCAGTCGGCCCATGGTGGAGAAGGCAGTGGCGATGAGAAGACTCCGTCAAGACACGACCCTTCCTTTCAGATAGAGAAGGGAGCACCAAATGGAGGGTGTTTGGAGGATCCTCCCAGGAGGGGAGATGCAGGTTGAAAGTAGACTGGACTGAACATGTTCGCCACTCAATGCCTCTTTTGCTGATCACAACACCCAAAAGGAGAGAGAGAACAAAAGGGAATGCCCTGCCACAGTGGCAGCGGGGGATGGGGGGGATGGGGGGGGAGGGATATTATCCATGGTGGTGGAAAATGGGCACTGGTGGAGGGATGGGTATTTGATCATGGTATGACCGAAATCCAAGCACAAAAATTTGTACCTCATGGTGTTTCACTAATAAAAAATAAATTAAAAAAAAAAAAAAGACACGACCCTTCCAAACCCAGCATCACCTATGGTCCCTGAGCACAGAGTAAGCCCTGAGCACCACCACGTGTGGCCCCAAACGAAAGCAAAACGTGGTCCTGCTGGCTGTTCACCAGGGCCAGAGAACTGACCGGCCAGCTCACAGGAGCTGGTGATTTTGAACGCAGAGACTTGAAGGGAAAGTATTTTCTATGCTCCTGATCAATGAACAGATCTGAAGCATCATGACAAGAGCCTACAGCCTTCAGAGTCTGATGAATTAATTTGCAGGTCCTACCTCCGCCCCGCTCAGAGAGCCCGGCAAGCTACCGAGAGTATCTCGCCCACATGGCAAAGCCTGGCAAGCTACCCATGCCATACTGGATATGCCAAACACAGTAACAAGTCTCACAATGTTACTGGGCCCGCTCGAGCAAATCAATGAACAACGGGAGGACAGTGACAATGACAGTGACAGTGACCACTCATTAAGATCAGGTTTCTTGAAAAGGCTTTACAGGGGCAGAGGCCGGAGTGATAGGGCAGCGGGGAGGGCATTTGCCTTGCATGCGGCCAACCCAGGTTCAATCCCCAGCATTCCATATGGTCCCCCGAGCACTGCCAGGAGTAGTGCCTGAGTGCAGAGCCAGGAGTAACCCGTGTGCATCACCGGGTGTGACCCAAAAAGAAAAAAAAAAGAGCAGAAGAGAGCATCAAAAACAAGAAACAAAGAACCAGCATTTCCCAACAAAGCCCTGGCATCCCAGGGGCCCCCAGAATATTACAAGGGGCCACAGATGAGGATTACATAAATGGGGGAGAGAGTGTGGATGAAAGAGGCAGCTGGCAGGATGGGGTCAGGCACAGGAGGGGAGGATGCTGGAAGGGGCCACAGTCAGAGAAAGATTAAGAAACGTCGCTGGAGAGATAGCACAGCGGGTAGGGCATTTGCCTTGCATGCGGCCAACCCAGGTTCGATTCCCAGCATCCCATATGGTCCCCTGAGCACCGCCAGGAGTAACTTCTGAATGCAGAGCCAGGAGAAACCCCTGTGTATCGCCAGGTGTGACCCCCCCCCAAAAAAAAAAATAAAGCAAAAAAAAAAAAAAGATTAAGAAACATGGCTCAAACTACCACGTTTACGGGAGAGAGGGTGGATACTTTTCTTCCCCGGATAAGACAGAGGCAAAGACTATCATTCTGGCCACGTGTTGTCAACGTCGGATTCAAGTCCTGGCCAGGACAGAAAGGAGAGAGCGATAAAGGGAAGCCCGTGGAGATTAGGAGGGAGAACAAGGCTGTCTTTCTTGGAAGCTGACCTCACGGCCGTTTTGCAGAAATTTCTCAGCCATCTGTGATTTGTGTCATGGAGAACAGTGCAGTGTGGAACAACCAAATGCCTTTCTATGCCGGAGCAATAAACAAGTAGAAACTGGAATCTGGGGCCAGGGAGAGAGGACAGTGAGTAGGGCATTTGCCTTCCACGCCTGCCAACCCGGGTTCGATCCTGGAGATCCCAAAAGCTTCCTTGAGCACCGCCAGGAGGGATGTCTGACAGGAGTAATCCCTGAGCTCTGCCGGGGAAAGGGGGCAACCGCCATAAAAACCATTGCATGGGGCTGGAGCGATAGCAAAGCGGGTAGGGCGTTTGCCTTGCATGCAGCCAACATGGCCGACACAGGTTCGATTCCCAGCATCCCATATGGTCCCCTGAGCGCCGCCAGGAGTGATTCCTGAGTGCATGAGCCAGGAGTAACCCCTGAGCATCGCCGGGTGTGACCCAAAAAGCAAAAAAAAAGGAAAAAAAAACCATTGCATGAACCCTCAAACCTAAAGAACACCAATTGTAACAGCATCAAAACTATTGAATACCTAAAGGATATATTCAACAAAACATGCCAAGAATGTACACAAAAGCCATAAAAAAATTCTTTAAAAAATGAAGGACGACTCAAACAAATTGAGAATCTTTTGCAAATCTCCAGGAATCAGGTCAAAAGACTATCCTTAAATGATCAATTCTTCCCAAATTGATCTATGGATTCAAAATAACTCTCTAACTCTTGGCAGAAGTTCTTTGTTTTTTTTTTTTTTAGAAATTGATAATATACAGGGCCAGACAAATGGC